CTGCTTGTTTTGGTGTCAGCATCTGTGTGTATCTTCCTGGGGATTAGGCAGGGGTTTTTCTTCTATTGAATTGCTAACAAGGGGCTGCTGGGGGTGATTAGCAAGTTCATTGTGTGCCGGCTGTGAAAGCCTTCGACAATACATAACCTGTATTTCTTGCCTACGTATGATTTTGTTATTTTTTGTTAGGAGCAGGGGTCTTATTCTGTGCTGATACTCAGATTTACATCCTCTCTGATCTGAGCCTTGGTAAAACCTTGGGGTTTATTTTATATGTAGTGTACATGAAACCTAATTTGTCACTAGGAAGGACAGACTGTAAGGCCAACTCTTGGCTGGAGATGGATACCCTGAAGAACAAAGATGCTCTCTGTCAACACTGATATTTGAGCAGACAAGGACCTGAGCATACCTCTTCAATTAATCATATCACAATTTAACAATGTCCAATCAGCCAATTTAAATATCTTGGACCCACTAAGGGAACTCCTATACTTCATTCTGCCTTAAATCATTCACACACAACTTCAGCATGGGAAATCATTGCCCAATCTTTTTTATTTCCTCTATGTGGCAAAAGAGCAAATCCCAATCATTAACACACCAAAAACAGATTTCAAAGAGTTTTATTCAAAACAGGTCATATTCAAGCAACAATAGCAAAACAAATCAGAACTAAATAAATTAGTATAGAAGACCCAAAGGAGAAAAAGATACAACAAAGCATTCAGAATTTCCATGTTAAGTCCCAAATCACTCATCTACTGTAGCATTTCTCTAAACGAGAGTCACTTCCTACTCTTCCAACATAAATCAGTACAATAACTCAGGCAAGGTCAAAGGTTGAGCAGAAGACTCAAGAACTATGAACTCAAGAACATAGAAGAACTATGTTCTACACAACATATATGTGCCCATTTCCCCGTGTCAATGCAGATTCAATTCTATAGCATTAGTATAAGTATGGATATAGGGCCTTTTTAACAAGAGTCTCTGGGAGTCGGGCAGCATATACATTTCAATTATTTTAACTATTACTATCATCAACTTTAGGATTTCAGGCCATAAAATTCCCAAGCATCACCTTTTAATTATTTTCTTAAGTAGATAGAGGGATTGTTGGCAGAAGAGCTTTTCTGGAGAATCAGGGAGTGGTTTGTCAAAGGCCTCAGCTGACTGACAATAATTTAATATCATTCTTCCAGTTGACAAAACTTCCCCTGACCCTTATCACTGATCCATAACACTTAGTAAGGATTCTAGCAAGCTACAATGATAAATATATGGGCAGAATAATCTAAAAAGAGCAGGGGAAGAGGCATACATGCCTCCTTTGCCCTGCATCCCATTACAAAAAGTAATATGTCCTTCAAGTCCAGGTTGACTCTTGGTGTCTACATGAGCAAGTCCATGTAGTGATCTTGGCAAATATGTAGGAGTGGTTTGACTGTCCTAGGAGGTTTCTCCAACTTCACAGACTAGCCATCCTCATGGTTTTCCTCCAAATTCTACTCACCCCCAACCCTCCTAAAGATCTGAGAGCCAATAACATCAGTCAAATACTCACATATGCTGAGACCTGTATTCAGAAAGGGTTGGCAAAACACATGGAGTGTATCTAATTTTAATCTGCATCCTGTAAATGTCTGCAGAACATTCAAAAAGCAGAAACAAAATCAGTTTGGGGCAACACTGGCAAAATTCTTCCCAAGGTATTGGGGGTTCAACACATCCTTCAAAAGCTTTGCATGAATTCTCTATTCCTGGGTTGAAAACTGCAAAATTCTTACTTCTCTCTCTTTTGTAAATAGGTTATGCTTTTGAAAATGATGGAAGTTGAAGACAATCAGACATTGGTTACTGAATTTGTCTTGGTTGGGTTTACAACAGACCCATTTCTACGCATAATCTTCTTTGTGCTGTTCTTGCTCTCCTACATCCTAACACTGACTGGGAACCTGGGCCTCATGGCACTGATCTACCTAGAATCCCGCTTGCACACACCCATGTACTTCTTTGTGGGCAGCCTATCCTTTCTGGATGTCTGGTACTCCTCGGTCTACACTCCTCGGATCCTGTCTGACTGTGTGTCCAAGAACAACCACATGTCCCTAGCTGGTTGTACAGCCCAGTTCTTCTTCTCTGGTGGCCTGGCCTACAGTGAATGCTTCCTACTGGCCTTCATGGCCTATGACCGCTTTGTGGCCATCTGCAACCCACTCCTTTACACCACTGCCATGCCCAAGAAGCTCTGTGTCCAGCTGGTTGCAGGAGCTTATGTAGCTGGCTTTGCCAATGCCATTGCGCACACCATTAATACCTTTCGGCTACACTTCTGTGGGAACAATGTCATCAACCACTACTTTTGTGACGCAGTACCACTTGTGAAAATGGCCTGTGATGACACACAAGTATATGAACTCATTCTGACTGCTCTCATTGGTAGTAATATGTTAATAACCACAGCTGTCATCATGAGCTCCTACACTGGTATTGTGGCAGTCATAATCCACATTCGCTCAGCCACAGGGAGACGCAAAGCCTTCTTCACTTGCTCGGCTCACTTGGTCTCAGTCACCCTCTTCTATGGTTCCATTCTTATCATGTACTCCAGACCCAAATCTCAGCACACTCCCAATTGGGACAAGGCAAATGCGTTGTTCTATACAGTAGTCAACCCTTTGGTCAACCCTTTGATTTACAGCTTACGGAACAATGATGTGAAGGCAGCCTTCAAGAAGATCTGGGGGAGATTTCTAGCACACAAATAAATGGCATTGATACTGTCTTTCTCCAGGTTGGATTATAAATGATGAAATTAACCAGCTGCCTCTAGTGTCAGTTTTCTTTCCTTCCTTCCTTCCTTCCTTCCTTCCTTCCTTCCTTCCTTCCTTCCTTCCTTCCTTC